AGTGCGATTGGCACAGGACAGAGCGGAGTTTAGGGCTGTTGTACATAGGGTCGCTATGAGTCGCAGGCGACTCGACGGCACATAACAACAACAACAACACTGTTAATAATGCCTATTTTCAATTTTTAAGAATGGCTTCATTCCTCTTGGGAGCCACATGGTGGCGCCGCACATTGAGCTAAAGAGCAAGAGACTGCCGCAAGAATAAGACCAGAAAATAGTCTATGAGCAACAAAATTAGGGAAGAAATCTGCCTTATTTTTGTAATTTCTCTTGTCTAGCATAAACTACTTAGCCTGTCTCATTTCTAAGGGAAGGCAATCATACGTTTAAATGGCAAATGAACCTATTTTTTCTACATATAAATCATTGATTCGTCTATTTCTGAACCAGATTCTCTATCCACAAAGCCAAGAGGCTATTCCTTATTGATCACTTGCTGCCTTGTAGCCAAAAGGCCTTCTCCCTGATAGGGAAGGAGGTACAGCATAGTATGAGTATTATAGCAAAGCATAGCATAGTGTGGTGATGGTGGTGATGTTGTGCTGTCAAATCAGAACTGACCGATAGTTGACCTTCCAGTGGATTTTCAGAGGCAGTAAATCTCAAAGGAGGAGATTGCCCTTCCTTCTCCCACAGAACATTTTGTGCTTTCAAACTGCACACCTTGAGATTCCAGTGTAGCTTCTTACCACTGGGCCACCAGAGTTCTCCAATACTATATAGTATATCATAATATACTATGCTATACACTTTTTTTGGCACATCAGGGTCACAGTATTCAGCAACACAGCAACCACGAGGTACCTCTGTACATCCATTCAACAGACCAGTGCTATCTCACCTAGAAGAATGTTTGACCAAAAACAATTAAAAGCAGGCCTGAGGGTTGCAGATTAAAGTCACCCACCTTTGGCTTGATAGCATCACTTTCTGTCCATTAGGCCAACGGAGCTCTTTCTGTGTTGTTGTTAAATGTCGTCCAGTCATAGGTGACTCATAGAGACCCTATGAACTTTCTTCATTTCTGCAAGATCATAGGGTTTCCAGAGGCAAGCTATTTTGAAAGTGGATCTCACTGCTGCTTCCAAGTTTGTTTTAATCAGGGAACTCCACCCAACACTGTCTGCCATGGGTAACCAATATCACATTTGGCACATCAGAGTCACAGTGACCAGCATCATAGCAATCACGAGTTAACTCTATAATAAATCAACCCATGCTAGTCTAGTGGTTCAAATCCACCAGCAGCTCCACAGGAGAAAATGGACTATCTCCTCCTGTTACGACTTACCACTTTATAAACCTAATGAAGTGTCTTTATGACTCCGACCCTAATTAAGGGCAGTGAACTTGAATTGTTTAGTTAAACAGACAATGCCTGGGTTGTAGAAATAATTAATATTCTTGGCTGCTAATCCAAAGGTTAGAGGATTGAGTCGACCTGGTGCTGTTTCAGAACAAAATCCCTGTGACCTACTTCCAAAGAGTCGTTGAAAACCCTATGTAGCACAAACCTACTCTGACACACAGAGGTTTACTTAATAACTGGCTTTGAAACACAAATGTGTATATAGACACAGATACATAGTTTCACATATTTGGGGCATATCATCAGAAGAGGTCAGTTTTTTGAAAAAGGCATCATGCTTAGATAAATGGAGGGTCTATGAAGGAGAGGAAGACTCACAAGATAGATTGAAACAGGGACTGCAGCAATGGTCTTATACATGGCAAAGATTGTGAGAATGGCATGGGATTAGGCAAGGTTTTCATCTGCTGTCCATTGAGTGTCTATAAGTTAGACCTGATTCCTAACTACTATGCTTTACATAGATCTACAAACTGTAAGATCCAATCCATTGGTGGGGGGAAGGGTGTTAGTCAGATCTGACATATATTGACCATATAGACAGAGTAGAACTGGCCCATAGGGTTTCCAAATCTATAATCTTGAAGTAGCAGCAGATTGTCACACCATGTCTTTCTCTCCTGCAATCAATCCGTTGCATTCTATAAATTACAGATCAGAATCTTGTCCTATCCTCCTCTAGCCTTGTGATCTCCCATGCTCAAGCCTGTTGTAATCATTGTGTCAGTCTATCGCATTGGGAGGCTTCCTCTCTTTCACTGCCACTCTACCTTTCCTCTCATGATGTCTTTTGCCAAGAACTGGCCTCTCCTGAGGGGACAATATGCTCAGAGTGTGAAATGAAGTTTCACCATCTTTACCTCTAAGGAACACCCTGGTTACATTTGGGTTAAGACACATTTATTTGTTATTTGATAGTCCATGGTATATTCAATACTCATCACCAATACTACATTTCAAACTTATATTTAAGTTTGTGCCTGAGTCAGTCTTCTCAGTTGCTTGCTATGTATCTGAGAGCTGGACAGTGACCAAAGGTGACAGAAGAAGAAGCAATGCCTTTGAGTTTTACTTCTGGAGAAGAGTATTGAACATACTATGGGCAGACAAGAGAACAGGTTGCTTTTTGAGCATGTTGCCAGGAGTGACTAGCCCTTGGAGAAGGACATCATGCTTGGGAAGGGAAGGCGTCAGCACAGAAGAGGAAGACTCTAGACGAGATGGATTGACAATGGGGGCAGGTGTGGCTGAGACAGGGAGATTGACTCAAGAAAGGCAGGATTCAGAGCTGTTGTTCACAGGGTCATTGTGCGTTGTGGTGGACTTGATGTACATAACAATAATTATATATATATGGTGTAGGTGTGGATCATGTATGTTTCATGTCTTTCCTTCACCTTAGTTGCGGTAATAGAAGACTTGAGTACATCAGAGGAGGATAAGAAAGAGGAAGAAGGCATCACCCAAAGCTTTGACTTGACCCCTGGTGAGAGCTGCCTACTGCATTTAGAATAAACACTTGCATTAACCTCTGAAATAAGCCCAGTGGCCTCTTTTAGTCATCATTTATCTTGACCTTTAGGCCCTATGGTTGTGTTGCTTGTTAGTCCATACCTTACCCCGTGCCCCTTCTTGATTTAGTGGCCTCCATGGCTTTCTTAACATGCTCTGCCTGGTCCTGGTCCCTTGTTTCTCCTTCAGTCACTCCTTCTATGCATCCTTCAGTTATCTTTGCTTCCTCCTCCTACTTCTTAAATTTAAGTTTTGTCCTCCATCCTCTCTTCTTTCCTCTCTGGAAGAATATCTCTTCTCAAGGATATCTTTGTTACCACCAAGAAAATTGTTTCATACTTGTATTTCCACAGTATTCTCCGGAATATGAATCTCTTTTTCATTCCATTTTTTATATCTCTCTCAACCAAAACCCAGAAAACACACCTTAGCAGAATCCAGCCAGTTGCTCCATTCATCTTCCCTGACTAAAAGCAGCCCCAGACTAGAATCAAAAAGCCATTTTAAACAAGAGGTTAAATTTAATCTGCTCACTGTTTGTTTGTGGTTTTTTTTTGTTGTTGAGGCTTGAGTGTGGCCATTGCTCAAGACTAGATGTGAGTGGATTAAAATTGGCTTCTTATTGTGGTCCTCAGGCCTGGTTTTAATTGTTTTCAGTCAAACATTCTTTTAAGTAGTACAGCAATGGTCTGGCAGTTTGCTGTAGGAAGGCAACTCATGGTTGCTATGATGCTATACACTGTGACACTGATGTGTCAAATATGATACCCATGGTAGACAGTGTTTGGTGGGTCTTTCAAATTAAAACAGGCTTGCAAGCAGGAGTGGTATCCACTTCCAAAATAGCTTGCCTCTGGAAACTCTATGAACTTAGAGAAAAGATGAAAGTTTTCGTCTTCAAGACTTTTGTTCATAGAGTCGCTATGAGTCATCTACGATTCGACAGCACTTAACACCACCACCATCATCTCTCTAGCTGAATAGTCTACCATTTTCTCAATCTCAACCTTGCTAAGAATCAAATAGCATCTTTTCCCACAAAATCAGCTTGTCCACAACAGGATTTTTTTTTCCCCTCTAGACAGTTTCCAACAACTTTCTCTTTCAAAAAGTTTGTCCATTACTTAGCCATCTAGATGCTCATCATCTGCTGCATGAAGCAATGCTGCTTCCGTTTCTCCTCATTTGGTAAATTTCTGACACCCTACTCTCAAAGACATCTGTGTATAGAATGCATCCAGGGCCTCCCGCAGTCCATGACACTGAACACCAAATCTCCACCACCAACTTCTGCAATTCCTCCCCTGTCTATCTCTGAAGCCTCATCTCTAAGTCCCTGTGTAGATACATATTTTTCTTTGAATGCATCATCCCATTTTTATTGAAAGGCTTTCATTTATCCTCACAACCACTCCTGGAGGTATTAAGCACCTCATCAGCACTCTCCTTCCTACTTTCCTTTTCAAAGCCAGTATCCTCACTGAAAACTTTACCAATTCAGTCCCTGACTCAGTCCATGTCTGCTTCTCAATCCTGGAACACATGATGAAACAAACTATTAATGTGGATCATATTTTCTACAACTTCATTCATTTTTTTTTCCAGTACAAAAGACTTCCCCTAAAGCACAGGTATTGTGGATCTCACAGTTCCATGGATGGTGTTCTACACACAGCCAGCCCTCCTAGATTGGTTGTTAGTTGAGAGGAAGGAGCCAGGGTATACAGCAAAATGACAGTTCACAGAACCTAGGTTTGGAAAGGCCTCTGAGAATTCATCTAGTTTATCCCTCAATATCTTCGTATATTTAACTTCTCATTTAACTTGAGTATTATTCCAAACTCCTTAACCACATTTGGCTAAGAACTCCTTCCTGATGACTAATTTTCATTCCCTGGCTATAAGTCTATTTCCTTGCATACTCTTTGCAGAAAGCAAAAATAACCAACACAATAACTATAGAACTTAAATATCCTTTCCCTCGATTGCTTTTGGGGTTTTTGTCCTTTTTCTTGCTCCCAGCAATAAACATGTTTCTCTTTGTCTTCAAGATAGAGCACTCCCTCATTTCTTTATCTGAGTTGCCCACCAGACTATTTTGCATTTTCAAAGTAACTGTATCTACTCTTCAGTGACCAAAATAACTGTCTAAAATCCTTTTGTTTTTCTTGTAGAAGTGAATCCCAAATCTGTAGCGCTGATAAGTAAGAAGAGTGGCATCCTCTTGCTTACTCTTGTGTCCTTCCTCATTTTCGTGCTCTTCATCATTGTCCAGCTCTTCATCATGAAGCTGCGAAAGGCTCACGTGATCTGGAAAAAAGGTGAGTGGAGAGAGGGCTTACGGGGGCCTCCAAATTCCTAGCAACTGCCTCATGAAATGGAAAATTCTGTCGGTCAAAGCTTTGCAGCTAGATGTTCCACGGTCCTGAGCCCTTTTCAGTGTTGTCATTTAAACAAGGATTTAAACAAGTTCTTCTTCAGCAAACTGGACCCTGTTGCAGTCCAGCTCTCAGTCACCAACTAAAACTCAGCAGGTGATATCCACTAGTCATGGGAGAAAGATGTGGCCATTCGTTTCCATAAAGATTACAGCCTTGGAAAGCCTATGGGATAATTCTACCATAGTAGTCATTAGTATCTAGGTATTTTGATTAAGCAGTTATCATAAAATATGTATAGGTGCTCTGGTGATCTGGAGATCTGGTGATTCTTTGCATCACCCAATAAGTAACTACAATCTGGCTATTAAGTATTTGCAATGAAGTTAGTCCCTACTGAGTTGTAAAATATATATCAAATTTTGAACCTCCTACACATACATATGTTGTTGTTGTTGTTGTGTGTTGTCGAGTCACCTGCAACTCATAGCTACCCTATGTACAACAGCCCTAAACCCTGCTCTGTACTGTCCCAATCTTATTGTCTCAGACACACCTACCCCCATTACCCCAGTCACTAAATCGTATATCCTATAAGTCTTTTAGGTCTGCTGAATTAAATAAAATCTACTGTTGAATTTCTTTCATCTGTTTCTTTTCGTTGTTAGTATGGCTATGGTCATTGTTGTTGCTTTTGTTGTTAGGTGTCATCAAGTCAAGAATGACTCAGCAATCCTATAAACAACACATCTGGACCCCTACCCTATCCTAACCATCCTCATCCTCTCTGACATAAAGCCCATAACTGCACTCACTGTGTCAATCCATCTTGTTGAGTGTCTTCCTCTCTAACTCTCCACTTCTCCAAGTATGATGTCCCTTTCCTGGAAACAGCCTCTCCTAACAACATGCTTTAAGTCTGTGAGATAAAGTTTTGCTATCCTTGGCTCCAAGGAGCACTTTGGCTGCACTTTCTCAAAGATATATATTCGTTCATTGTTTTTTGCAATCTCTGGGATATTCCGTTTCCTTTCCAACGCCACAACTCAAAGGCACAGATTCTTTTTTTAGTCTTCCTTATTCATTGCCCAGCTCTCAGATGCACATCAAGTGACTGAAATGACCATGGTTTGAAACAGGCACATTTTAGTCTTTAAATTGAAATCATTGTTCTTCAGTATTTTAGAGAAGTCCTTGATAGCAGTTTTTTCCAAATGTCTTTTTATATCTTGGCTACTGGTAACAATAATTTTGACTGTGGGCCCAAATCATTGACAATTTCAATCTTTTCTCCTTCTGTCTTGTTGCTGCCTATCAGAAGCCCAGTACTGAGGATTTTTTTTTTTTGTCTTCTTGAGGTTGAGACATAATCCATATGAAGGCTATAACCCTTGATCTTCTACAGCAAGTACCTCAAATCCTCCTCACTTTCAGCAAGCATGGCTCCTAAGAAATGTTCAAATACACATGAAGTCTTAGAAGATCCCATTCATCTATGTTCTCTTCTCCTGGTTGTAGGTTTTCCAGGATACTGGGAAGACTGTTTATGTTGTGGATTAGGACTTCTAGTGTTGTTCCTAGCTTTTCTGTAATGAAG